TTAACAAACCGTCTTGCCAGTGTGTCTCCTGGGCCAGGGTCTCTGTGGGAACAGAGAGACACCTGTGGCCTGGGCGGAAGTCCCCGGCCTTCTGGCACTGGCAGCCCGGAGGCCACACAGACGACATGGCCAGGGAAACGCCAGGCATCTTGGGAGTGGAAGGGCTGTGGGCGAAATGCAGGACCGGGAGGGAGGGATGGGGTGGAGGAAGGAAAGATAGGAAAGTCAGGGAAGTTTTAGCCGAGACTTGAGTGACAAAGCAATTCGAGAAGCTGGGGAAGGACCGCTTCAGGTAGAGGGGACAGTAAGTGCAAAGGGCCTGGGGCAGGCATGGGCTTGGCGAGGCTGGGGGCCGGAGGAAGGCTGACGTGGCTGGAGTGCAGGTTGTGGGGGAAGCGGGCTGTTGGAGCAGGTGCGGGGACTTGGAGGCAATTAGGATTTTCTCCTAAGGGTACTGGGAGCTGGGCGGATGGTTTAAGCTGGGGACTTCCTTGGTCAGATTGTTTTTTTTTTGCAAAGGCCCTTCTAGGCGCTCTGAGGGGCATGGGTTGAGAGTTGGTGGCCACGAGTGGAGTCTGGGAACCGAGGCTGGAGATGCCCAGGAGGCCAACGGCCGCGGGGGCTATAGACTGGGCAGTGGGTAGGGAGGTGTCCAGAGCAAAGGCCAGGGTTCCAGACGGCGACGTGGAGGAAGAGCCCATTTGGAGGCCAGTTTGGTTGCGGCACCTGCGACGCCGGGAGGGAGGCTGCTGCACCCCGAGGCACAGGTGTGGAGAGTGAGGCCATCCCTGTCCACCCCCAGGTGTGCCGCGCACTGCCCCAGCGGGCCCTGCCCCGCACTGTGACCCCGGAGATGCGCGCGCTCGTGGTCGACTGGCTGGTCCAGGTGCATGTACGTACCGGGAGCCTGCGGGCGGGCGGGCGGGGCGGCCCCATCGCTGGCCCTGGTGGTCACCCGTGCCCTTCCCCAGGAGTACCTGGGCCTGGCGGGGGACACGCTCTATCTGGCAGTGCACCTGCTCGATTCCTACCTAAGGGCGGGCCGGGCGCGCCTCCGCCGCCTGCAGCTGCTGGGCGTGGCTTGCCTGTTCCTAGCGTGCAAAGTGGAGGAGTGCGTGCTTCCCGAGGTGCGTCTGCGGTGGAGTTCGGGAGGGTGGAGACCTTTCCCCCGGCACTGAGTAAATGCCTGTTGCGTGCTGAGCACCGTGCCGAGCGCTCTACTGACTTGGGGAATCCCGGCCTGTCTGTGTGAGGGAGGGGCTGCCCACGTGTCCCTTTAACAGAGGGGACTGAGGCCCAGAGAGAGGGAGACGTTTGCCCCAAATCAAGCAGTTGGGACTTGGACTGAGTCTTGAATAGTTATAGTTAATGTGCACGAACTTGGTGCCTTGACAACTGCCTGGTGAAGGGAGTAGTGTCTCGGTTTTAGGGGGGAGGGGGAAACTGAGGCAGGTTTTAGGGGGGAGGGGGAAACTCAGTCAGTGACTGTCCCATGTCACACAGTGAGTAAATGGTGGAGCCTGAACTGGAACCAGGTCTTTCTGACTCTGAAGCCTGTGCTCTCCACGCCTTCCAGACACAAGTAAATGGCCCCATTTTACAGACCAGGAAACTGAGGTCCGAACTTGGACTGAACTGATGGCAGGCGTTCCAGGGCAGGGAGTAAAGAGCCAGGATCCAAGGCTCCTCCACCGCCCCTCCACCCCCCATCTGCAGCCCTCCGCCCTCTGCCTCCTGAGCGCCGGCTCCTTTTCTCGGGCCGAGCTGCTGCGCGCCGAGCGCCGCATCCTGAGCCGCTTGGACTTCCGGCTGCACCATCCCGGCCCCCTGCTGTGCCTGCGGCTGCTGGCCGCGCTGGCGGGGAGCGGCCCCCAGGTACGCGAGGGTGGGCGTGGCCGGCGGGGCGGGGGCGTGGCCTGGCGTTCACTACGCCCCCTCGGCAGGTGGTGATACTCGCCACCTACTTCCTGGAGCTGTCCTTGCTGGAGGCCGAGGCTGCGGGATGGGAGCCGGGGCGTCGCGCAGCTGCGGCTCTGAGCCTGGCGCAGCGCGTGCTCTTCGGCGCTGGATCCAGGCCCCTGCCGGCCTTTTACAGGTGTGGCTTGGGTGGAGGGCTTGTCATAGGGTCTCCGGGGCCCTCCCCTTCTCGTCACCGTCTCGGAGAACGAGCGGCAATTACCTGGGGAGGAGGCGGCACTCAGCCTTGACTTTTCAGGGGGTGGGAGAGAATGGGGTGTCTGCCTAGCCCGGAGGACCCCACTTGCTTTTCTCTGCGGGGTGTTCGAGAGAATGGGGGTGCTTTTCCAGGTTTGGGGACCCTTAACCTTGCCTCAGGGCGGAAGATGCTCTGCCTTCCAGGCTTGAGATAAAGGGTCTCCCACTCTGAGTCTGTCCGCTCTGTATCTGGGCGCGCATGCGGTGGCCCTTTAGCCGCCAGCGTCGTCAGCCGTGCCTCGGGGTGGCAGGGTGAGTCGGTTTTCCTCCCAGCCTGTGCCCCCAGGGCAGGGTGGACGCCCGCCCATCCTCAGTCCCACTCCTCCTTCCTCTCGGGTGCCGGCCCCACTCTAGCGCAGCTCTGCGCGGAGACCCGGGCGTCTCCCCTCCTCGGTGTCCCCATTCACTCTAGTTGAGGGTGGCACCACGTGTTCGACCTCCAGAGGGCACCTGGGCAGCCCCCAGGACCTACAGCGACGCGTCCACGCAGCCTCAACCCAGGATAGGTCATCTGCACCCCCTGCCTCAGTTTCCCCACCTCCCCGCTGCAGCCCCGAGGAGCTGCGCCCCCTCGAGCCGTGCATGGCCCGCGCCGCGCTCCGAGGCCCCGCGCCCGGCCGCGCCGCCGTCTTCCTCAAGTACGCGCGGCCCCCGCGCCACCGCGCCAGCCTCGCCGCCGCCCGCCTGCTCCGCCGCCCCCGGCCTGCGCCCCGGTGACGGCCGCGACCCGGCCAAGCGCGCAAAACACAACCGCCCTCAGTGTCTGTCCGTCTCTCACCTCAATAAAAGAGTTTCTTTTATTCTGAGCGCTCTCGGCCCTTATTGGTCTCATTCTCTCTCCCTCTCGCTTTCCATTGGTTGTTTCCTAGGTCTCTCGTCCTTCTGATTGGATATTCTCACCGCGTCCCTTAACGGTTGCTGGGGGGATGAGGTGCAAATTCTAAACTCCTCCACGAGGGGGCACCAGCGGACTTTCCCAAGCGCCGCTCAGCTGCGTTCAACTGGGATCCCCTCGTGGCTGGGAAGAAACTGCAAAAGGAGGGGGATCGTGGGGAACTGAGAATGTCCGCTCCGCTCGTGAACAATGCTACCTTGATGGTCGACTGACTTTCAGATTTTACTCAAGCAAAGCTGAAAACCTGCAATTCCATAAACACCTCTGTTTAAGTCAACTAATTCAATTTCTTTGTGGTTGTACAAGTCCACATCGCATATGCTGGCTTGTGACAGTCATCGGTTAGTCATAGTACAAGTCCTTGATAGTAAGGGCTCGGTCAATGGGGTCTGATTTACATAACCTCTGAAGTGCCCCAGTGTTGAGGGGGATAATTAGTAGATAGTGATAGTACTGACCTCATGGTGGTGTGGTGAGGATGTGAGTTACAATATACATAAAACTTGAGGACAATGCCTGGCACCTAGTAGATGTTGCAAACGTGCATCCTAGTTGGACTGTGAATTAGGTACCCTTGTCCTCTGCTTCTGTGCCCCAGGACCTAGCCATTTACTTGGTCAGAAAACATTTGTTACGAATCAAAGGATTTCCATGTTTTGAATGAAAAACACACATCTGAAGTGGAGTAAGGTGCATACACTGCTCAAGAATTCAAGGTCAGGAATTTTAGACTCCTAATTGAGACGATTTGGGGGCACAGAGAGGAAGCTGTTTCCACTCCTGAGGTTGGAGCCCAGGGATCGGGGAGAAACTCATTCAGCAAAAACATTTTACAGTGAAGTACAATAAGAGATGGAGGCAGATGCTGCTGTTTGTTGGATTGGAAAGTGCTGAGTTCAGGCTCCGTTCAGCCTGTTGGATGGGACCTGCCATGGGACCTCTGGGGGGAGCATGTGCTGGGGTTGGGGAGATAGAGATACAGGTGCTTGGGGATGGGGCCCAAGCTAGGGTCTTGGGGGAGGGGGAAGGAATGGTCGTACATAAGGCTATTTGCTAATTTATTCAATGGCTATTTATGCATGCTGACTCCGAGCCAGGCATTTGTGAGCACATAACCCAGAGTCTAATGGAAGATGAGAAACACCAGTTGTTAATTTCCCATTACTGTAGAGACCTTGTGCTAAGTGCTTTACCTGCATAATATTATTCAGTCCCTACAACCACTCTGAGCTGAACGTGCCTGTCATCCTCATGCCACACGGAGGAAGTTAAAGTGGAGGAAGATCGAGGAATTGGCCAAGGTCCCATAGCTATGTAGGCGGCTAAAGAGGATTGAAAGGCAATCACCTCAATCGCCCTGTCTTCTCTGGAAAACCTCCCCCAGGCTTCCTCTCTTGAACACTTTAATTGTTGTGCTGCTTGCCTTGGGCTGTCGCTGACTGGGGACCTGTCTGCCTTCTTGCTGGGTTTCCCTCTAGACGGTGGGCTGGATGAGGGCAAGCAGCAGATCTCTCTGGTTCATAGAGGGTATCTGCTCCAGGAGGCTTTGTCGCTTCAGCCCAGGACAGGCACCTTCTCTGGGCCCTCACAGCCTGTTGTACCCCCTCATCCTGGCCGACCCCTTTGCACGTCCCTGGCCCATCCCAGTCCTGTCCCTTCTGCCCGAGCTCCCCAGGCTAGCCCACTCAGGGCTGTCACTGTCTGGACCAGGGACCCAGTGAGGGTAGGGTCTGAAGGGCTCTCGTCACCCAGCTCATGTCCCAGCATCACCCAGCACAGAGACGCACAGAAAAGACATCAGTGAATATTTATTGCATAAATAAACAAATGAATCCCAACGTTGATATTATCGTTCCCCGTTAGCGACGAGGAGACAGAGTTCTTGGTGATATAAGTGAGCTGGTCAAGTCACACAACTAGTGAGAAAATAAGCAGGGATTTAAATCTGGGCAGCTTGAGTCTAGATCCGTGTTCTTACCCAATACGCCAACTGGCTAGTGGGCTGAAAGCCAACTTGCTGCGAGGTTGGCATCTTCCTGCTTTTTTTTCCCCCGGGCTCATCCTTTCCTTCTAGAAATCCTTGGGAGCTCTGGGTTTGGGGAAGAGAGCAGGCAGGAGGGAGGGGAGGGTGAACGGAACGGGCAGGAGAGAAGCCCACTGAAGAAGGGGCACTTGGGCTCATTTGAAGGGGAGCGCGGGGAAAGTCTTGAGGGGTTTCTCTAGACCCATAGGGGGCAGCGGAGTCGGCTGCCGGAGGTGCGGGGGCGGAGAAAGGGTGGGGACCGGCCCCGCGGGGGGCGATGCGGTAGCTGCGGCGGCGGCGGCAGGAGTTTCCCACAATGCAGCGCGGCGCGCTGTCCCCGGTGCTGATGCTCAGCGCTGCCCCGGAGCCTCCGCCGCGCCCGCCTCCCGCCCTCTCCCCGCCGGGCCCGGGCCCGAGCCCCCGCCATGGCTCCGCTCGCCCGGGGCCGGCGCCAGAGCCGTCGGGGGGCCTGGGCGCGGCGCTCGACAGCAGCCTGCGGGCGGCCGTGGCGTTCAAGGCGGAGGGCCAGCGCTGCTACCGGGAGAAGAAGTTCCGGGAAGCCATCGGCAAGTACCACCGCGCGCTGCTGCAGCTGAAGGCGGCGCAGGGGGCCCGCCCTGGCGGCCTGCCCGCCCCCGCCCCCGGGCCCCCCAGCAGCCCCGGGCCGGCGCGCCTCAGCGAGGAGCAGCGGCGCCTGGTGGAGAGCACGGAGGTGGAGTGTTACGACTCGCTCACGGGTATGCAGCCGTCGGGGGCGCAGAGGGCATGTGTGTGGGGCGGGCGGGGAGGGGCGACGACGAGCCTTGGGGACGCGGAGGGGTGCGGAGTCTGGAGGCTGGGGGGTCCAGGGCTGTGGCCTGTGGAGGGAGACCTCAGGACTTGATCAGGTAAGGGTGGGGGTAGGGCAGTCACAGGGGGCTCTGGCAGGAGGGAGCTGGGATGCGGGAAATGGCTTTGGGCTGGGTCTTCAGGGCCCCACCTCCCCCGAGTCATTCTTTCCACCCCCTGCCACACGCGAACCTAAGGGGAGAAAGGTCCACCCTAAAGGGGCCACTCAAGGCCCCGTCCCTCGCCTCTGCGAGTTCCCTTAATATTCTCGTCTAATCGCCCAAGAGCTCTTGTCTGTGCCTTTTGCGCCCTCTAGCGGCGGCGCAGATTGGGTCTACCTTGATGGGCCTCCGGATTGGCGCCCCCTGGTGGCCTGAGCAATCCCTCAGGCCGGGTTCCCTGCAGCCCGGGGGCCGGGCGCCTCCAGGCCAGGTGGGCTCTGGGAGGGCCGGCTGGCTGTGACAGTGTCGTCCCCCGGCCCCCGCAGCTTGCCTGCTGCAGTCGGAGCTGGTGAACTATGAACGCGTGCGCGAGTACTGCCTCAAGGTGCTGGAGAAGCAGCAGGGCAACTTCAAGGCCACCTACCGCGCTGGCATTGCCTTCTACCACCTGGGCGACTATGCGCGTGCGCTGCGCTACCTGCAGGAGGCCCGCAGCCGGGAGCCCACAGGTGAGGGGCGGGGCGGGGCCGGGGAGGGGGCTAGAGCGGAGGGAACGAGGGAAGGAGGATCAGAGCAGAGCAGCAGAGTGCACCTCCGGCAGAGCTGCCTGGAGGGAGGGCTGTGCGTTCACCGACGTCCCCCGCCTCTCCATCCACCTGCTCCTTACACACCCATTTGTCCACTCGCCCACCATCCATTCAGCCACCCCTTCACCGGCCACCGAAACACCCATTCATCCGTCCGCCCGCTGACGTTTACCCACCCACTTCTCTTCTACTGCAATTGATCCATCCTGACGCCTCCCATTCACCTGCTCAGCCACCTCCCTGTGCACGCACCCACCGTCATCTCCATTATCCCTCCCCCAATACACACTCATCCCTCCACTCACTAACCAGCCTATTCACACACTCACTGATTCATTCACCTTTTCCATCACCCACTCATCCACCCAGGTTGGGCAATGCCAGGAATTTAGCGGGGTGTGTGGTTAGCAGCCCCGGAGACTGTTCCTTGTCCTCTGGGAGATCACAGGTAGGGTGTGTGCGCGTGCGCACGCAGGCAGGGAGACACACCAGTTTTGCGTTAAGCGCTAATGAGGACTGGGTGTGGTGGCTCACACCTGTAATCCTAGCACTCAGGGAGGTCGAGGTGGGAGGATCCTTGGAGGTCAGGAGTTGGAGACCAGCCTGAGCAAGAGCAAGACCCCGTCTCTACTGAAATACAAAAGATTAGTGGGGCGTGGTGGTGTCTGCAGTCCCAGCTACTCTGGAGGCTGAGGCAGGAGGATCGCTTGAGCCCGAGAATTTGAGGCTGCAGTGAGCTATAATGACGCCACTGCACTCTAGCCAGGAGGACAGAGTGAGACTGTCACAAACAAAAAACAAACAAACAGAACTACGGAGGAGGGAAGAGGGATCACAGCAGGTGCATGATGCAGGGTTTCGAGCAAGGGGGCAAGATTAGCTTTCCCGGCGAGTGGTTTGGAGAACAGACAGCTCACAGACGACACTGGAGAATGCGCAGAAGTGCGACAGGGCCTCTGTGAAGGGGCGTTCCTGGCAGAGGGCGTAGCAGACAGAAGCTCGGAGGTGCGCAGTGTCTGTGCCCCGCTGCCTGTGGCTGGGCTTGTGGGGAGGCCGTGGCAGTGCTGGCTGTGAGGGCACCCACTGGAGGCTGGGGGGACGGGTGTGTGCTGAGGTGCAGATGTCACCTGCCGCCCCAGGACACCCAGATAATGCCCTGCCCACCTCCCCTGCAGACACCAATGTCCTCCGCTACATCCAGCTGACTCAGCTGAAGATGAGCCGCTGCAGCCTCCAGCGGGAAGACAGCGGGGCCGGGGCCCGGGACGTGGTTGGCTGAGGCCAGCCTGGGGGACGTGGCTCCCCCACTCCCTCCCATCGCACATGTACCTTCCCCTCACTCGTGTGTTCGCTGGTAAAACACTTGTCACTGGTGACCATGACCTCTGTGTGGCGTTCTTGTGGGGACCAGGGAGGGGACCTTAGAAACCCAGGGAGGCCCAGGGAGGGTGCGTGGGGTGGGGAGTGTCCCCTGGGGATGGTCCAGCACAAGGGCCTGGGCCAGGGAAGACGCGGAGTGAAACTGAGTAGGGGGCAGGGGTTACCTTTAATGCTGCATTTTGTGCCAAATCCCCCACATGCCCTGTCCCTGAGTATCCCTGCCCACCCTTCCCCCAGTGCAGGGCGGGCACAGGGCTCCACCCCCTGGGGTACAAAGGAATAAATTAAGTGTCCCCCCACCCCCCTTCCCCAATAAATAGCATTGCGTATCCTGCCCAGGGCCTCCCCCGCCTTGTGGCACGGCGGGCTGGGGCGGGGCCTGGGGCGCTACATTCATGGCTGCCCAGGCGGGCGGTGGCGGGCAGGCCTCAGTGGGGGCCGTGGACCCCACACAGGGGCACGGTGCTGTCCTGGCTCTGCCCCTCCATGTCCATGTCGAGCAGCGTGGGCTGCGTGCCGCCGGGCCCGGGGCTCTCGGGCGTGTCCGGCCCGCTGGGCGGCGAGATGCTGAGCGTCCGGCCGAACGAGACCAGCTTCCAGGGGTCCAGGCGGGGTCGACTGGCGGCCGGCCGGGGTCTGGGGGCGAAGGTCAGGGTGGTGGGGCGGCCCGGGAAGTGGGGGGGCCGGCGGCGCGCTGGGAACAGGGCCTGGGGGTCGGGCAGGCGGGGGAAGTCCAGGGCGTCTCGAGGGCCTGGGGAAAGAGGTTCGGCTCAGGTGAGTGGGGCGGGCACAGCCGGCGCTTAAGGAGACTTAGGCGGGATTTCCACTTTCCCTTGAGAAATCCACGGACCTTGCGGGCCCACTTGCCACAAAGCGACAGCCACCTGCGGCGGGCAGGGCCCGACCTCCGCTTAGGTCCCCACCACTCCCACCTGGGTGGGCTCCGGGCAGAGATTTTGGGCTTTGGAGCCAGTTTCTTGGCAGCCCCTGGAGCCAAGGCCGAGTCCCCCTGACCCCCCTACACTGCGCTGGGGTGGCCTGGACAGACCTAGGAGCGACCTCAGGCGTGCCGCTCTGACTGGCAGCTCACCACACAGGTGGGCATTAACTACAGTGACAACTGTAAAACAGCGGCACGGCGCTGGACGGGGCACTTAGTGTCTCCCGCCATTGCAGTCGCCCTTGCCGTTGCTGGTAAACGCACAGGGAACGGCGCCCAGCGTGCGAGGTAAGGGCGAGCCATGTCGTATCGTTCCCGTTGTTAAAGCCGCCTGCCCGGCCCTTGTAGGCCCGTCTGCCACCCCTGAGTCACCCTGTGTTGTCGCCTGGGGGCCCACAATGCTTCCACGAGGGAGGGGACGCAGACCCTCCCTCCTCCGCCTTAGGGGCCTTAGGCGCCGGCTGGGCTCGGACCTCGACCGTGGCGGGGCACAGAGGAGGGGCTGTCCCTGCGACTTGGAAGGGCTCCGGGCGCCTCACTCACCAGGCCCGTGGCCCGTGGGCTCGGGCGGTCGCCGCTGCCCCAGCGCCCCGTCCGACGGCGTCCGCCGGTGCCCACGGCTCACTGGGCGGGCGGCGGTGACGTGCGTGGGCGTGAGCGACTGGCGGGGGTCCTTCTTGAAGCTCTCCAGCTCCAGGTCCACCAGCGGGTTGGCGCTGGGCGAGGGCAGGGACACGGGCGGGGGCGGGGAGGGCGGCGGGGAGGGCGCGGCCGGCGCGGCCTCGTCGCTGTCGGAGCGCAGCAGTGAGCGCGTGGAGTTGCAGTCGGACACGGACGACAGCGACACGACGGTGGCCGAGGGCGCCAGGCCCGGGCCGGGGGCCGCGTCGTCGCGGCGGCCGGGGTTGCGCGCGGGCGGGCTCAGGCCCCGCGGGAAGCGGCCGGCGCGGGGGAAGAAGAAGCCGTCGAGCCAGCGCCGCTGCTCCTCGCTGTCCGCCGCGCGCGCCTCCGCCACGTCGGCGCCCAGGCCCACGGCGCCCAGCAGCGTGGCGCAGCCCAGCAGCGCGAGGTCGCAGCGCCGGCGGGCGCCGTGTCCCGGCCGGGCGGGGGGCGCGGCTGGCGCCGGCTCCCAGGGCGCCCGCGCCCCCGGGGAGGGCTCGGTGGGCAGTGGCACCGTGAGGTAGGACGGGGTCGTGTAGGGGGAGGGGGGCATGCTGCTGCCTCCGTCCGCCTCCGCGAACTCCTCTGCAACCGGAGAGGGCAGAGGGCGTCACCTGAGTGCGCGGCTGGCTCCTGGGCCCGCGAGTACTTGGTGGCAAGGGACAGCCCCCAGTGACCCTCCAGCGGCAAGACCTCCATGTCCCACTAAGCACCGTTCTCGAATTTTTCTCCCCCAGTAGCTCAGGGAGAGGGGTCCTTGCTCGTGGGAATGAGCCCCCCACCCCAGGGACCTGCTGTGCCTCCTGCCACTGGCCAGCCAATCCTGTCCCCTGCCCCCAGCCCTGGGGAACGGCTCACCCCTGGGTCCCGGGTTAAGCTCCCCTTGGCCAGGGAAGGTCCCCTCCCCTCCTCCCAAGTGCCCCTGCCCTCTTACCCATCTCGTTGAGGCTGGCAAAGCCAGGGGCCATGGGTGTGTGTTTGGGGGACTTGCCCAGGTTGGGGGCGCTGGATGACCACTGTTTGCTTCCTTCCCCGAGCGTCTTCAGCCTGCTGGGGGTTCCAAGAGATTGGTCTGGGGCGGGCGCAGGGCGCGGGGCGGCCCCGCAGCTGCGCCTCACCTCTCCTCGCCGCTGGCCCGCTCCTTGTTCAGGGTGGAGCTGGGCCCCCACGTCCGGCCTTTCTTCTTGCCCCCAACCAGCTCTTCCTTCTTCGGGGGTGCACTGCGGCCCCACGTCCCGCTGCCACCGCTGCTGCTGCCACTACTGCCACTGCCGCCACAGTCCACGGGGGTCACTGGGTCAAGGGAAGCCACCTGGTTACTGGGTCCTGGAGACTCTGTCCCCACCTCAGATCCCCCCTCTGCCTGGACGTCCAGGGGATCTTTCTAACCCCATCCATGACCTTCCCCGCTATAAGTCCTCCCATAGCTCCCCATTGCTGTCAGGACAAAGTCCCCGCTCCTCGGCCTGCCATTTGAGGCCCTTCATAAGCCATTCCCTGGCCGGGCGCGGTGGCTCACGCCTGTAATCCTAGTACTCTGGGAGGCTGAGGTGGGCGGATTGCTCGAGGTCAGGAGTTCAAAACCAGCCTGAGCGAGACCCCATCTCTACCAAAAATAGAAAGAAATTAATCGACCAACTAAAACTACATAGAAAAAATTAGCCGGGCATGGTGGCACATGCCTGTAGTCCCAGCTACTCGGGAGGCTGAGGCAGGAGGATCGCTTGAGCCCAGGAGTTTGAGGTTGCTGTGAGCTAGGCTGATGCCACGGCACTCACTCTAGCCTGGACAACAAAGTGAGACTCTGTCTCAAAAAAAAATAAAAAAATAAAAAATAAATAAATAAATAAGCCATTCCCTGCCAGTGTTCTTGGCCTCATCCGCCCCACATGGCCTAACCCTTTGCAGTGGATTCTGGGTGGCTGCGCGCCCTCAGCCTCCAGCTCTGGGTCATTAGATTCCTGGAGTGGCAGCTGCTCTTCTCTGCGCCTGCCACACTTTGAACGTACCCAGCACTTGTAATAGTACTTGCTGCTCTGCTGCACCGGCCTCCTGGCCAGGTATACAGCAGGTGGCCAAGCAGAGGCGTGTAGGGGGCTGTGCGTGGGGGGAGGGCTGGGGCCGGCCATGGGGTGGGACAGACTCAGGAGCCAGCTTTGCAAACTCCGAGGGCTGTGCCTCTGCCATGCAGCTCTGGCTGTGGCCACCTCTCCCTTCTGAGTCCCCTGGTCCAGCCCCCACCGTCTCATTGGTCGCCCCACCTTTACTGCTCACAGCAGCCAGCGGGAAAAGGTGGATTAGATCTGCCCTGTTCACCACCCTCCTGGGGCTCCCCCATGGTGTTGAAAAAATCCGGATTCCTTACCCTGGCTCACAAGGATCTGCCCCTATGAACCCTTTGACCACAAAACCTACGCTCCCCCCCCAATTCACTCACTCCCGCTAAGCAGGCTAATTAGCACGCCACGCTCCTGCCACCTCCAGGCTCTTGCCTTTCTGTTTCCTCTGCCAGGGTCACTCTTCCCTCGGGTCTTGGCATGTCTCACTGCTTCTTACCATGAGGGTCCCTGCTCAAACCTCACCTCCGGAGACAGGCTTTCCCGATGTAAAATAACAACCCTCCTGTGACGGTTAATTTTACTCGTCAACTTGACTGGGCTAAGAGACGCCCAGATAGCTGGCGTTTCTGGAAGAGACGAGCATTTGGATGGGCCGGGGGAGCAGAGGACTGGCCCTCACCAGGGTGGGCAGGCCTCATCCAATCCGTTGAGGGCCCAAACAGAACACAAAGACAGATGAAGGGGGAATTGGCCGCGTGGGCTTGGGGATCTGTCATGTCCTGAAACCGGATGTCAGTACTCCTGCTTCCCAGGCCTTTGGACTTGGACCGGAACCACATCACCAGGCTTCCTGAGCCCCCAGTGTGCAGGCAGCCAACAGTGGGACTTCTAGCCTCCACAGTCACATGAGCCCCTCCGTCATAATAAATCTCTTTCTGTTGATTCTGTTTCTCTGGGGAATCCTACCGACACCTTCTCTTCCATTCCCTTCCCTGAGTTCCTCTACAGCACTGACCACTACTGGAACCGCTCCTGCTCACTGACTTGCTTCCTTGTTTCCTGCCTGTTTCCCTCCATGAGAATGAGGGGAGGGGCCTCGCCTGTCTTGCTCCCTGTTCCCCTGGCTTGGTGCCAGGTGTGCGCTCAAAGATGTTTGTTGACTGACTGACTGACCGGGCTGGTCAGGGCCTGGGGAGATACTCACGGCGGATGGCCCTCAGCCGGGGGATGATGCTGGGGCTTGCAGGGGGGCTGGCCCCATCGGATCCTTTCCGCTTGTCCAGAGTTGGAGAGGCCTGGACTGTGATCTTATGCTCGAAGCCTGCAAGAAGGGAGAGAGGTTTTTCTAAGCAAACGGCTCCACAGGTAACCAAAGGGCAGCTGCCTTGGTAGAAGTATGGGGGAGGGGGAGAATGGGACACCACCATCTTTCATTGCTTAATGCAGTGGTTCTCAAAGTGTGGTTCCCAGACCAGCACCATTCCCAACAGCTGGAAACCTCTGGGAAACGGAATGCAAATTCTGGCTCCTGCTTAACAAGCACGAGAGCCCTCAGTGACCAGGGGTCTAGGCCTGAGTGTCCAGTACAGTCGCCACCAACTCCAAGTGGCAACTGAACACGTGGAATGTGGCTCCTGCGACTGAGGTTTAGCCTCTGTTTATTCAATTGTCGTCACGGTAATTTAAATTTAAAACTCAGATACTCCATTTGGTTACTGGAAACATTTAAGCATGTTTGGAACCACTTGGGCATGTGTATCTGCTTTTTGAACTCTAAATTTTATGAAATCTAAATGCAGCTCAAAAATGTTTGATGAAAATGTACTGCCCAGAGTGAGATGTGGGTAAAACATAAAATATACACTGGAGTTCAAAGATTTAATATGGAAAAAAAAAAGAGGTAAAATAAAATTAATGCCTCCTGTTTCCTTTTCCTTTTTTTTAACAATGCTTACTAGAAAATTTAAAATTCTATGCATAGCCTGTGTTATATTCCCACTGGCCAGCACTGCTCTGTGGCTCGTGACAGCACAGAGGAAGATGACGAGACATTGTGTGCCTCCTGACCCATGAACATATTTACTTAGGGGGTAGTCTTGGCAAAAAAAAAAAAAAAATCAAACCTGAACCCAAATGTGATTAAGGCTTGAGATCTAACCATTAGGTTGATCCATATTAAACTTCTGTTTTTGTAGGTCAAAAAGGGACAAAGGCCGGGTGCAGTGGCTCACACCTGTAATCCTAAGCACTCTGGGAGGCCAAGGCGGGCGGATTGCTCGAGGTCAGGAGTTCGAAACCAGCCTGAGCAAGAGCGAGACCCCGTCTCTACTATAAATAGAAAGAAATTAATTGGCTAACTAATATACATAGAAAAAATTAGCCAGGCATGGTGGTGCATGCCTGTAGTCCCAGCTACTCGGGAGGCTGAGGCAGGAGGATTGCTTGAGCCCAGGAGTTGGAGATTGCTGTGAGCTAGGCTGACGCCATGGCACTCACTCTAGCCTGGGCAACAAAGTGAGACTGTCTCAAAAAAAAAAAAAAAAAAAAAAAAAGGGACGAAGACAGCACAGTTTAACCCACTAGCAATGGACAGGAACTTCAGGGGACAGAGGAACGAGGTCATTGACACGAGAGGGAGGCAAGCAGCAAATTCCAGACTTTGGGAAACTGCACGGGACTGACCACGCGGTCCGTCCACACATTATTGGCAACGGGGGAGCAAGGCCGATTAAAGGAAGAGACAGGCCCCTGGGCTGGGGACGCTCGCGCGGCCGCCGCTAGGGGACGCTCGCTCGCTCGCTCGCGGCAGATACCCGAGGGCAGGCTGATGTGGCTGCCGCCTTCGCGCAGCTTGAGCAGGCGGCTGCGCTTGAAGTTGCCCTTGCGCTTGCGGACCCGGGGCTTCTCCTGGCTCAGCTGGCACATGAGCAGGTGCAGCTCCCGCTCCACGATGTCCATCTCGCGCTCGGCCAGCTCCTGCTCCCGCCGCCGCAGCTGCTCCTCCTGGCAGCGCTGCTCCTGCGCCGCCCGCAGCAGCTCCTCCTCGCGGCTGCGCAGCTCCTGCGGAGGAGACGCCTGGCTGGGGGCGGGGCGGCCGGGCGCTCGGCGGCGGCGCCTGGCACGAGGGCCCCCTGCTGGGGGGCACGCTGGGGTCGCCGCCCAACTCACTCTCCACCAGCCAAGCTGGGTGCAGGGCAGGAGACCGTGGCAGCCAAAGAAAGGGCGCCTTCCCTTTCTTCCCTTTTCTAACTCTGCAATTTGGAAAACTTCAAACACCCACAAAAGCAGAACGGTGCAGCCCTACGTAGCCAGCATCCAACGTCAGCAATGAGCCACACTTTGCCAATCCTGTATCCCTGCCCTTTCCTCTCACCCTCTCTTCTTTTCTGCTGTAGTGTTTTAAAGCCAAGCCCAGACATCATGCAATATCACCTGTAAGTACTTCAGTACAAGGTGCCTTTTTCTTATTAATCCACCAACAGGAGGCTGTCCTTTCTTAATATGCAAGAAAGGCTCCCTTGATCCTGTATGGACCCAAAGGCTGGGGTTCAGGGACTCTGAGCAGCCCGAGGCATCAGAACTCAGGGAACCTGCTCCGTCTGGCCCTCCTCGCCCCTGCCTTCACCTTCTCCTTGGTCCGAAGGTCATCAAACATGTGCTGAATCTCCAGCTTCCAGTCTTCCTGCAGCGAATGGAAAGACTCCAGCGGCATTTGGAACAGGGCTGACTGTTCGATGACTTCAAGCTGCTTCAAAATGCTGCCGAAATCTGGCCGCCCGTGGGGGTCTGGGTCCCAGCACTCTGGGGTGAGAGGGGAAGGACAGTGGTGGGGGATAAGGGTGTCATCGGTCACGCTCTGGGGCATCAGCCTGCTCGGAGGAAGGTAGGATTTCTGGGGACTGTGGACAAAGTTTCTATGGAGCTGAGGGGAAGGAATTCGAGGCCAAGCTCCTGGCCAGTGTTTCACTCAGGGAAACGCCGAGGGAACCCAGGCACCTGCTCCCTGCGGAGGGGCTGGTGGCAGAGTTGAGCATCAGGGAGGAATCCCGGGGCCAGGGAGTCCTAGCGGGTCGCCCTGGAGAGCTCTGGGCCTGGCGAGAACAGGGGTCTGGGGCGGGAGCATGGAGCCGGCTCTGGGGGAGGCTGTCCACAGTCCCACGGGTCTGGTCCCCTCCGTCTCGTTCCTGGGCCCACTGGCATGGATGGGTGTGCAGGGCAGAGGCCTGGCCCCAGGGCCCCGCCACTCCAAGCTGGGCCTACCCTCTCCACGGGGCCCGGCTCACCCTCCAGCAGGCGGGCAAAGGGCTCCGGGCACGTGGAGGGGATGGGCAGCGTCAGCTTGTTCATAGCCACGCCATACGCCACGGCCAAGGCGTCGATCTCGCGGTAGGGGACCTCCCCGGTCAGCAGCTCCCAGAGCAGCACCCCGAAGCTGCAGGTGGGGGAGAGGCAGGGGTGAGGCTGCAGCCCACCCCAATCCTCACCTGTACCCCAGCCGTGCCCTCGGTGTGGCCCCATGGTGGGCCACCCTCACCGTGACAGCTCTGGCCCTGGCCAACAAGGCCACAGAACCTCACCTGGCCTCTACGGGCCTGTTATCAAATAGATGGATGAGCTGGGCTCCCTGCTGTCTCTCCTTTGCTCTGCCTCCGTTTCCCCGCCTGTGCCTGGAAACCTTCCATGGGTTTCCCAGGCCCGCCGGGCAAATCCACCCTTCTCGGCCTCAGCTCTAAATGCTCTCTCCAACCCCAGCTTCATCTTGCAGCCACACTGCACTGAACAAGCCCTGTCCCTCCTAACCTCTGGACTTTGCACATGCTGTTCCCTTTGTTGAGAACACTCTTCCCTTTGTGTAACTATCTGTCCTTCAAGTCTCAACTCAGGTTGCCCCCTCGGCCAGGAAGCCTTCTTTGATTCCACAGCCTCCAAAGCCAGTTAGAGGCCCCTGCCCACGGGACACACGGCACTTACCTCTAAAACCAAGTTAACACTATTTAACATTTACAAAGCACTCGCTGCAGGCCAGCCACTGTGCTAGGCACTCTTGGCAATTCTCCCAACAGCCCTGCAAGGCAGAAGGTATCGGTATGACCTCCGTTTTATCCACTGAGCAGCTGCAGGCTCAGAGAGGTTAAGCTGCTTGTCCAAGGTCACACAGCTAGCGAGTGCTGGAGCTGCACTCAGACTCAGGTCTGCCTGAGGCTTGTGACAGTGCCCTGAGCGGCTACACCATAGCAGAGCATGCATCACTGTGCTACGGTCACCTGGTGTCCCTCTTCCCCAGTAAACTGCGCATCCTCCTGCATCCTGAGCCACATGCAGTTGATCCCTGTTCCCTCCCAATATCCACTCGTGCATTCATTCAACATACACTCATTAAGTGCCACTGTGTACCAGGCCCTGTTCCAGGCGCCGGAACGAGATAGATACAACCACTGCCCTCACGCAGCTGACGGCCTCCCCTTCCTCCTCAGCGACAGCACTGGTGAATCTGAGCTGGGGACACACTGCCTGCACTGATTTCCCATCCTTCTTTGCAGCTGAGCGTGCCCATATGGCCCATGGGATGCAGGAGGGTGTGCAGTGGGCAACTAGCTTCCAGGAAGTGTCCTTAAAAAGCAGGGGTACCCCTTTCCTCTCTTTTCCTTCCTACTGGTTGGAATGTTGCACGTAAAAGCTGGAGCTTAAGCAGCCATTCTGGGTCATGAAGCAAACTTGGAAATGGAGGCCACACAAGGTGGAGATAAAGAATAGTGGTTTTTAGTTGGAGGTGGCATGATGCTCCCACCTCTCCTATGTCCCTGGAAACCTGCAGGGATGTTTTGATTGTCGTAATGACTAGGAAGTGTTACTGACATTTGGTGGCTGGGAGCCATGGATATTTAGTGTCCTGAGAAGTAGGGGACAGTACCACACAAGGAAGAGTTATCCTGCCTGATGTCAACAACACCCCAATAGAGGAACCCCAACACAGAGGGAGCCTGAGTCCCTGACATCGAAGGTACCATATCAATCCAGACTTCACATGAAAGCAAAAACTTCAGTCTTGTTTTTATTTTGGGCTTTGTCTTCCTTGCAGCTAAAATACGGGCTCTAATAAATGTCTGGTACTGTAAATCTGTGCCTGATCAGGAGCCAGCTGGAACTGCTCCCAAAGAGCTGCTGAGTCTCAGGTTGAGCCGGAGACTTCCTGTCTGATACGTCCCTGCCCTAAGCCCATCAATTTGCTGCTCGGACAGTCTGGAGCCTCAGCTGGGGACTGATGGGAACAGTAAATGGGGAGACCGGGGCTTCAAACAGAAAGCTCTGGGTTGAGAAGTTTCCTGGGCACCATCAACTCTCCCTGGTGACAGCAACGGTCTGGTCCTGGGCATTGGCCTTTTCCACCTAACAGCCCAGGGAGCTTTTAAAATGCTACCTCAGATCAAGTCATTCCTAAATGCCCCTAATGGCTTCCTGCTTTGCTTAGAATGAAACCTGGGGTGGGTCCCTTCCCCACAGGGCCTTCCCCGCGCCCTCTCCCCCAGCACTGCCCACCTCTACAGCCACACGGGCCCACCACTATTTCTGGAACATACTATGCTCGCTCTCACCTCACTACCTCCTTTGCTGAGGCTGCTCCTTCTGCCTGGGAAGCTCCTTTCCCCACCCTTCCTTCCCACGGCGGCCTCCTTTGTGTCATTCAGAACTCAGCCAAAGTGTCAGTTCTCAAAAAAGCCTTCCCGAAGTCACCCCCCAGCCCTCAAAGTGTCTTCCCGGCCACCTCCTAGCAGCTCTTATACAGTCATGGCTTTTCTGTTGCACTTACTATCTTTTAAAAATTACTTTACAATTTTCTTAACTTAAAAACAGATTCTCTTTTTTAATCCACACCTTTGGAATTAGAGGAAAAACAGAAAAAAAAAAAAAACCCAACAGATTTTTTTTTAAAAGAAAAGCTTCTTGTGTATTTATTTATTTACTATCCCTGAGGCCAGGGACCGTGTCTAATTTTGCTCACTGCTGCGGGCCTAGAACCCAGCGCACCTGGACGAGTGAGTGAATGAACGAATGCCTGCAAAGGCCTCGATTTCCTGTTTGACAAACGGGGGTGGTGTGCCCGCTGGTGTCTGAGGGCCGACATCCACGTGCTATCTCTGTATCTCATGGATTTTTTTATTCTAATCCAAGTCGCTCCTCAGTTGCCACTTCTGCTCGAAGGGCAGGTGGCTCTTTTAGCGCTTGTCTGGTGGCCTGACCTTGCCCGTGGGCCCCTGTGCCAGGCCCAGATCCTGGCTTCTGGGGAGGAAAGCCTCCCTTCCACTTCTCCCTCCCCTTGCCCGCCCGCCCTCCCTCCCTGGAAGCCACCATCCCGGCCCAGGCCCAGCGTTTCGGCACCTCCAGACATCGCTGCTTTTGGAGAACAGGGACAGACGGATAACCTCCGGGGCCATCCAGGCGTAGGTCCCTGCGGCGCTCATCTTGGTGGTCTTGTGCCACTCTCGCGCGAGGCCAAAGTCTGTGATCTTGAGCACCGTGTCTGCGAGGTTGTGGTTCTCAATGGCCTCCAGGATAAGGACTGTGGGGCAGGAAGAGAGGTGTGTCACCCCAGACCTGCTGGGTGTGGCAAGCGCCCTGGCCCTGTGCCTCAGCTAGAATCTGCTTGTTCTCTCCTTTCACTGCCTCAAGCTGTCCCGCCCTGGGGCAGATCCTTTCCCCGAGCTGGAACAGCTGAGTCCTTCTGCCACGGTCTCCACCTGGGAGCGGGAAGCTTCGCATGGGTCATCGGACTCCCTGATTCCAGCTTGGGCTCGGGGTGATCAAGTGACTCATCAAGAAACAATGGCCAAGGCCTTGGTCCTCCTTGGTCTAGGCCTTGAATTTCCAACCCCCCCTGGAAGTGGGACCCGTAAGCCATGAGCAGAGGGGATGAATGTGGTTTCCCTTTTGTCTCTGTCACCCTGAGGTATACCACAGCCAGGAGTCCCAATTCTACTCCTTCCTGCGCCCACATTCTTTAGCACGTGGCTTTGCGGTTCTTCCCAATGAAGAGGCAGAGTGTGTTTCCCCATCTGATCTGGGTTGGCCGAATGACTTTGGCCAAGGCTGGGGTACACGAGACAGAGTGCCAGTGTCAAGCCTGGGCCTCACGTGTCTGCTTAACCTCTCGCACTGCCGCTATCACCAGCACAGCATGCCTTGGCTAACCTGCCGGCCCAGGAAGATGACGGCTACCTGCAGCCCCTCCAGCTCAGCCCCGCCTAAATCAGTTCACCTTCCCGGTGGCCTGCAAATGCACGAGCGGTAATAAACGACTGTTGCTTTAAGACGCCAAGTTTTGGGGGTGGTTTGTTACACAGCATGATTGTGAACAAAATCTGACTGATACATTCCCCGAGCATGTTGAATGATTCCAGCTACTTGCTGCCTAGGGTTACCACTGACAAAGATTAGGTCACACAAATGGTAATCTTGTCCATACTTAAAGTCTGGCTTCAGTGCCACCGCCTCCTGGGAGCTTCCTGTGACTTCCCGGCCTGTGACTCCACCTCCTCGGAAGCTTTCCCTTCTTAGGCACCCCCGTGACAGGGGGAATACCTCATGGTCTTATACTTTACTTCTGCAGCTCTCAGGCTGGGCCTAAATCAGTCCCCTTTTATTTTTATTTTTATTTTTTTTGAGACAGAGTCTCGCTTTGTTGTCCAGGCTAGAGTGAGTGCCGTGGCGTCAGCCTAGCTCACAGCAACCTCAAACTCCTGGGCGATCCTCCTGCCTCAGCCTCCCGAGTAGCTGGGACTACAGGCATGCGCCACCATGCCCGGCTAATTTTTCATATATATATCAGTTGGCCAATTAATTTCTTTCTATTTATAGTAGAGACGGGGTCTTGCTCTTGCTCAGGTTGGTTTTGAACTCCTGACCTTGAGCAATCCGCCTGCCTCGGCCTCCCAGAGAGCTAGGATTACAGGCGTGAGCCACCGCGCCCGGCCTCCTTTTAAAATCTGTATCTGATCACATCACCTCCTGCTGAAAAGCCTCTAATGGCTTTCGCCATATGAATAAAATATCCAAAGTCCTTGCCACGGCCCCCAAGGTCCTATGTGACCTGGCCCCTGCCTACCTTTGTGATCTGATTTCTTTTCACTTCAGCCTCAGCTGCCCGTCTGGTCCCCTTGCTGTTTCTCCTACAAGGCACGTCCATTCCCATCTCAGGATGTTTGCCCTGCTGCTCCCCCTTCCCAAGATCTTTTTTTTTTTTTGAGACAAGGTCTTGCTTTGTTGCCTAGGCTAGAGTCCCATGGCGTCATCATAGCTCACTGCAACCTCCAACTGCTAGGCTGAAGCGATCCTCCTGCATGGGCCTCCCGAGTAGCTGGGACTACAGGTGCACACCACCGCGCCCAGCTAATTTTTCTATTTTTCATAGAGACGGGGTCTCACTCTTGCCCAGGCCTCTTTCCCCAGATCTTTGTAAGACTCAGTCTTTTTTGTGCAGGTCTCTGCTCAAATGTTGCCTTCCCAGACTGCCCGATCTAAAGAGCTTCCTCTGTCCCACCCTTCATCCGCCTTATGTCATTGAGAGCCCCTGATACTCTCTGAAATTCTGCTATGTATCTATCTATCTGTCAATCATCTATTCCTGTCCACTGGAATACAAGTGTCACAAGGCAGGGGGAGGGCATGAGCACCACTAGAGGCAGGGACAACCTGTGTCTGTCTTGCACATCCACCAGGCCTGGCACAGGCCAGGCATGTCGCCGGCACTTGGTAGCTATCTGTTGAGCATAGGCATGTCAGGCTTAGAAGGCAAGGAAGACCCAGCCCCTCTGTTGCAGGGGCTTACAACTGTTGTTGGCAGGTGCATAGCAACACACCTATAAAAATTAGCGGGATGGATTCAACACATTTCAAGCTGTAGAAGTGACAGCAGTCAGGAGTGGAGGAGATGTGAGCATCGAGGGCAAAGGGGGAATCCTCACATTTCTAGATTTCCCGGGTTGGGTGAAAACGGTGTGAGGGCATGGAGCATGTTGTCCTCATCCACAGTTGATCCCCCTCACAAATGTGAGAATGACTGAATGAATGAAGAAATGAAAGAGAGTGGGTGCAGAGCAAGACTGGGAGAGCCAGGAAGGTGAGGTTTCCCCCCCTGTTCTATCCCTAGGACAGGGTCTAGCACACAGCATGCTGGAAACATCCGTGGCATGAATGAATACAATTTCTAGTTTGTGAGGACCATCAGGGCAGGAACAATGGCTGTCTTGGTTCTTGTTGGGCTCCTACCTAATACGTGCTCAATTAATATTTGCTGACACCACAAGAAGCTCCCCGATCTAGATACGAGTCCCGGGCAACCTTCCCATCTACCTGGCTCCATTATTTATTCAACCAACCAATCAACTTTTGAGAACCTGTCAGGCAGCCTGGAAGCTTTTACATAAGCCACATCCATTCCATTCCTCCCTCATCTTTTCTGATTTGCCTTGGCCAGCTGGGCCAAGGCCTAGGAGGACTCCAGGAAGTGGGTCCCAGCTTGGGGCGATTCTACCCCCCAGGGACATCTGGCAATGCCTAGAGACATTTTTGGTTGTCATAGCTGAGGACAGGGGGTGGAGAATGCTAACAGCATCTAGTGGGTAGAGGCCAAGGACGCCGCTAAACGACGTACAACGCACAGGACAGCCCCTACGACAATGATCTGGCCTCAAATGTCAATAGTACCGGGGGTGAGAGACCCTGACTCCAGGCAGGCGAGGTTCTTTTTACCTCTGCCAGGTGGACTCTGCCATCATAGCTGGACGCTGAATGCTGTGCAGGCAGGCACGGCACCTGTCCTGTCCTGGCAGGGAACGCAGGGCCTGTTACAGTGTTCATGGGTACATGTTTATTGCGCGACTGTGACTCTGTAGCTTGGGAGCCAATTAGGTCCTTCAACCTTTCTGAGCCTCCTTTTCTTCCCTTAAATCCTGCAGGGCCTGCCTCGCCTGGCCCTGAAGGTATACTGCGCCCCTTCTTGCTCTGGGCAGTGTCATCTGGTGTCCCCTCACCCTGTTTCCCACCACCTAGGCTTGGCCTCTCGAGGTTCTACGGAAGGAAGTTTTGGGGCGAGCACACCACTTACTGTTGATGGACTTGAGGTCCCGGTGGATGATGGGCACAGGGGCATCATTGTGTAGGTAGTTCATGCCCCGGGCCACCTGCACAGCCCAGTTGACCAGCACGTGAGGGGGCACCCGGCGACCGGCCAGCACCCTGCTCAGTGCGCCCCCGCGGGCATACTCCATCACCAGGCAGAGGTGCGGCGGGGTGAGGCAGGCGCCCCTAAGGGCAATGATGTTGGGGTGCTGAAGGGCTCCAAAGAGCCGGGCCTCCTGGCACACCTGCTCCGCCGTTACTGCCGGGTCCCGCTCAGGGTCCAGGCGGGCGGCCTTGACCGCCACCTCCTCGCCGCGCCACAGGGCCCGATAGACCTTGCCGAAGCCCCCCACACCGATGATCTCCTCCAGCTCCAGCTCGTGGAAGGGGATCTCTTGAGGCAGCTGGAGGCCCACGGGTGCGGCAGGGGTGCTGGGGGCCACGTAGTTGCTGGGGAAGACGCCCACGCGGCCGCTGGGTAGCTGCCCGGTCCACCAGCCCTCGTCGCCGGACACGGCACAGTCCTGGGAGAGCACCTGGACGCGGTCACCCCTCCGCAGGGTCAGCTCCTCGTCGCCCGCCGCCTCGTAGTCGAACACGGCGGTCCACACGGGCCCCGCGGGGGTCGCGCCCCACTCCTTGGCCGCCGCCCCCTCCTCCTCCTCCTCCATGGGGGAGGGGCCGGGGCTGCGGGAGGCCGGCTCACGCGGGCTGCCCGCGGGCTGCAGAGGGCGGGCCCCGGCGGCCAGGGTGGAGGGCAGTCCCCGCGGGCTCTGGGGCCCTCCTGGGGGCCATGGCTGGGGGGCCCTCCGCAGGAGCAAGAAAGAAACCCCTTCAAGAAAAAGGCAGGGATGTCTCCCGTGACTCGGTCGTCCAGGCGGGGCGGGGTGGGAGCGGGCGGCAGGTTCACCTGTCCCCTCCCGATGTCGGGGCGCTAGGAGGCTCTGGCCGCGAGGCTCCCCGACTCCTGCCGGGGCCCGCCGGCGGGGGACGAGGGCGAGGGCAGCAGGCAGTCCCCGTTCCCCGCGCCTCTCACCCCGCGCAGCTCCACCGGCGGCCCCCGGCTCCGCATCCCGGGCTCCGGCCGCCGGGCCGGGCGGGGGTGGCGGGGCCCTGGGGCGGCCGCCCCGGGCCGGGGTGGCGCGCCCCTCGGTCTCCTCACGAGCGGGGCGGTCGGGCGGCCCCCATTCTCGGCACCGGGCTCCCGGTCGGCCCCAGCCCCTGCCCCCGCCCGCGCCGCTTCCCGGGGCCGCCGGCGGGGCCCGAGTGACGTGGGCCGCCGCCGCCGCGCGGTGCCGCCTGGGAGTTGTAGTCTCCGGCCGCCCGGCCTCGGGGCCAGTCCCCCGCCCGCAGCCCCCAGCGCCCTGCTGCCAGCCTCGGGCCGCACTGGGGACCCCGCGGGGCCGAGGGAGCCTTCAGGGGAGATAAGCCCGGCCTCGGATCCCCACTCGGGGCGCAGTGTGCCGGGCACCTGGAGGAGGGAACCAGCGCTCCTCACAGACCCGGCGGGGGCTGCAGCCCAGGGTGGGGTGGCCGCAACGGACGCGCTTAGCAAAGTGGAAAGTAGGAGCTGCGTGAGCAACGGTTACTGTCCGGAGCCGCGGACCCGGCCGGGACCAGGTCCCCGCGGCCGGACGGCCCCTCGGGGCCCCGACGCGAGGTGCACGCCGGGAAATGTAGTCCGCCCTCGGACTACACGCCGGGCTTGGGGAGCCAGTGGGCGGCTCCAGCTAGCTAGGGGGCCGGGCTGGTGGCGGGCCTCGGCGGGGTAGACGGGGCTGGGAGATGTGCCTGCCGTTCCTGGGGATGTCACAGGCACGCCTGCTTTCCCCACCAGCTCCGGGTTCCTCTGCCTCCGCGGTCCGTTCTCTTGAGAATCCCCTCGCCCCATAACATGAGTTCCAGTCTTGGGGAGTTTAATGTGAATCTTGTGCTAAGCGCTCTGCACACATGGTATCATCAAGTCTTCGCAAAGAGCCCCATCGTACAGATGACACAGAAGTGAAGTCACCCGTCCAGGGTTACAGAACTGTAAATGGCAAAGCAAGAGTCAAAGGCAGGTTAAAAAATGAACACCAGGATTTTTGAGACACTGCCTTTCCATGTAAAGAATGAGGAAACTGAGTCCTGCAGAGGTTCGGTGACTTGCTCACGATCTCTAAGCGTGTAGGAGGCAAAATTCTGGGTCTTTTCACTTGGCCTCTGGGGGTCCGGAGGGAGAAGAGAACTCTGAGGGGCTCTGGTGCCCAAACTCCAGAGAACTGCCCTGGGAGGTGGCTCTACTCTCCGAGGGAAGTGGTCACCTGGTCTCCTGGCTTCCGAGCAGGGACGCTCAGGACCTGTCACAGATGCTTGTTGGAAGAGGGGTCCTGCTTCATTCTGAGTCCAGGCGTTTCCGCTACAACCTGATATAATATGTTCTTGAAAACCTGGAGTTCTTCAAATCAGTGCACTAAAAATAACAAGACTTTATGGGAAAAATAGAGTTAAGGACAGATTGCTCAAAATGTATGCAATTTTATTATTTTATTTTATTTTTTTGAGAAACAGTCTCTTTCCATTGCCCAGGGTAGAGTGCAGTGGCGTCATCATAGCTCAGTGCAACCTCAAACTCCTGGGCTCAAGCGATCCTCCTGCCTCAGCCTCTTGAGTAACCGGAACTACAGGCACTGTGCCACGATGCCCGGATAATTTTTCTATTTTTAGTAGAGAAAGGGGGTCTTGCTCTTGTTCAGGTTAGTCTGGAACTCCTGAGCTCAAGCGATCATCTTGGCCTCCTAGAGTGTGAGGATTCCAGCCAGATAACAAATTTATTCACTGATTCATCCCATAGTTATTGCCTTTATTCAGAGAACCCTGAAGGACTTGCAATATCCTAAAACCAAGGAATGTCTCTGTTATGGGCTGAATTGTGCCCATCCCCCAATTCCTATGTTGGAGCCCTCCCCCCCAGGACCCCAGAGTGGGGCTGTGTTTGGAGACTAGGCTGTTAAAGAGGTGATTAAGTTGAAGGAAGGTTGTTAGGGTGGGTCCTATTCTAATCTGACCAGTGTCCTTACTAGAAGAGGAGATTTGGACACCCAGAGGGGACACCAGGGATGTGCAGGCACAGACTGTGCAAAGACACGGTGAGAAGGCGCTGTCCCCAAGCCCTGGAGGGAGGCCCAGGAAGAAAACAAACCTGCTGGCACTTTGATCTTGGACTTTCAGGCCTCCAGAACTGTGAGAAAATAAAGGAATTTCTGTTGCTCAAGCCACCCAGTGGCTTTGCTTTGCTGTGGTGGCCTGAGCAGACGAATCCAGCCTCCAGATCTGTAACTGCAGACACTATTTTAGCTTCTAGCCCAGAGGGAGGAACTCTGATCGACTCCGAGGAGGGGGCCTTTGCAAAGCTGTTCGCATCACACCCAAAGCACAGCCCGGCTTGGCAGGCGGACTTAGCGCGCGCAGGCCTAGCACGCGTCTCGCAGATACGGCACTGTGTTTCTTCTCGCTGGGTGTCATTTCTGAGGGTTTCAAGCCCTTCCCCTTAGGAGTGAGCCTACGGACAGGCACCATCCCCGTGAGGCTCCCGGCTCTTGCAGGCGGCTTGGCTTAGAGGACCCGTGGGCGGGTCAGACTGTGCTGCGAAAGGGGTGGGGGAGGGCTGAGAGCAGGAGTTAGGGACTGGGAGAGCCGCGCGGTCTCAAGTGTGAAGCCAGCTTCCTTTCACCAGGCACCCGCGATCAAGTCACTTTAGGAGGTCTAGAAACATGCGGGAAACGCAGGAAGGGAATGATGTCAGGCGAGTTGAGGGCCGACAGTGACTCAGGAGTGGCGCAGGTGTCCCTGCTGCCAGCTCTGTTCTGCCTCTTTATGTAAGACAGTGCTCCCATCTGAACGTGACTCCCCCGCCCTCCAGCATTTATATGTTAAAGCCTAACAATCTATTAGAAGGGGGGGGCTTTGGGAGGTGATTAGGTCAGGAGGGCTCTCAGAACTCTCAGGAATGGGGTTAGTGGCCTTATTAAAGCTGCCCTGCCCTTTTACCATCCGCCGCCAGATCTGCTCCTACCTTGATCTTGGACTTCCCGGCTCCAGTACTATGAACAATACATTTCTATTGTTTATAAATTATCCAGCCAGCTATTTTGTTATAGCAACCCAAGTAGACTAAGACAACCAGGGAGCTTATTTAATCATTATTAGTAATTACTAACAACCATGACATCTATTAATCAATTATTAACCATCTATTAATCAATATTAATTATCTGTTCATTATTATTCATTGCATCTATGAACCATGTCAACCTAAATAAAAAACAGAGAGAGGCTCTCTTAAAGAAGATGATGTTTATTTGGGACCAGAGCATTGCAGTGGGAATCCTCAAGACATAGTAAGCTCCGTGCACACTCAAGGAGGTACAGGAAGATAAAGGTCTTTAAAGGTAAAATGAAGAGGGTGGGCCGGGCACGGTGGCTCACGCCTGTAATCCTAGCTCTCTGGGAGGCCGAGGCGGGCGGATTGCTCGAGGTCGGGAGTTCAAAACCAGCCTGAGAAAGAGCGAGACCCCGTCTCTACTATAAATAGAAAGAAACTAATTGGCCAACTAATATATATAGAAAAAATTAGCCGGGCATGGTGGCGCATGCCTGTAGTCCCAGCTACT